TGAATTGAATTATGGATTCAAGGATTTTGATTTGTGATAGGAAGGATCACATGATGTTTAGGAATGATCTTAAATAGCTATATATGAGAAAAGTCATGAAATCATCGTCTTGGAACAAGTCCGCGACACAGAGAAACTTTTTGGTCACTGGGGGAGCAGATCCGCGACGCGGACTTGCGTGCCAGATCACGCTCGACTTTTTCCTTCTCTCCGTCTTACAGCCCCAATTTGCCTAGACTCGACTTAGACCTCAAATTCATTTTAGATTCCGATACCCAGCATATGTACTCAAGAACCTAACTCAAAACAACTCTAAAACTCAACTCAAAGATCTGCGAAACTCCTCAATTCATCCCAATTCAAGTACAACATTCAAATTCAAGAATACATGTCAAGAACATCAACTTTCAAACTCTTCTAGGATAAATTTCGCTGAACTAAACATGTTTGGCGTGTGAGTTAATGAACCTGACTCTATGAGAGACTCACATACCTTGTAGGGATCACTCCCAACGAAATCCACAACCAAAATGCACGACATTAGCGAAATCTGAGCTTTACTTCTCCTTTTTCCTCTTTTCTCCAAGCCCTAGCGTGAATTTTCAATTGACTAAACTGATCTCATTCTGATTTGACCCTTAATTAATTCACTAAAATGAAATAAAATAATTGTGCAAGGAAAAGACCAAACCACCCTTTAAAAATCCGGATTGGACTTTCCTTATTCCAACAGCCCAACTTACAAAGGGAATAACTTACTCATACGAACTCGGAATCGTGCAAACTCAGCGGCGTTGGAAATATCATTTCAAGCGCTTTCATACCATATCTTTAAGTTCCTCTAATTAACCCTGATCTAGGAGTTAAGTCCGTTTGAAGTTGACCAAAACTCAACTTTTTCCCAACTTAAACAAATTTCCATATTTTCATTATTTCCAAAAATGACTATTTCCAGTTCTAAACTTCTTCCTAGCTATTTCAAATTGCGAGATGTTGCATATAACTATGGTTTCAGCTTTGGGTAAAGAGCGAATGAATAACTGAATCGGAGTTTGATCAATTCTCTTTCATTTTCCGGTGATACCGTGGTTGTTATCACCATTAATCATATCGGTAAAGTAAAGTGAAATGGTGTAATGAAAATGGTGGTGTGGTGTAGTTTAAAACTTAAGAGATCTATTTTTTAGAAAAAAATGAAAAACTGGTCAAAAACTAATTAATGTATAGATAATAAATTGTGAATGCAATTTCCTTTCTTTAGATTTTTTCTAAAATAGTCAAGATTTTGATTAATTAGATTTTTCCCTAAAATAAACGGTCTTATTTTTTCTTTTTCTAAGTTTTTTTTGGGCGATTAAATTTAATGATGAGTTTATCTTAATGAGACATATTTATTCGTCATTGCTGTGGTTAAACTAGTTTGTTAGTCATCAAAGTTGTCAAATTAGTATAATTATGAATGGTATACATCATCAAATTTTGTTATTTGTATTTGATATAATGGGATAAGTACATAATACGTGAAAATAAATGAATAATTGACTATCATAATTGTTAGAGCTTATTGTTTAAAGTGAATCAATTACATCATAAATAGTGAACATGATGAGAAAATAGTCAAAATGTCTTTAATATATGAGCTTTGATTTCTTTTGATTAAATATGTAAATTTAAACTTAGTTCATGTTAGGATCTTGAATACAATAGTCTTATATAAAATTAAAGGTTATAAAGTGTTTACTTGAATTTGAAGACATTATCACAAAATAAAAACGTAAATAAAACTATTTTCTATCTCATTACTCTAGCCTCATGTTACAACAATGATCAATGATTGAAAATATGTAAAAAAATATGTGGTAATTACCTAATGACTAAAGAGAGAACCAATTTATAAAGATTGAAACTTATTAATTAAGTACATTCATCAAATACTCAATCTAAGCGATAAGATTTGTTCTTAAATGAATATTATTTATGCACTTTCATATATTGATTATGCTACACATAAATTAGTAAAAATATTAACTTTTTCTCACATGGCCCAATGACCACATAACACCAATATTTGATGACACCGCCATTGGTCATACAATAAACACCTCTATAATGTCTATCATACTATAGAATTAAAGAGATTGAGAATCAAAGCAAACTTGAATGAATCTTATTCAAAATGTTAACAATCAACTTAAATACAAGTAAGATGTAACTAACTTGACTAATTCTAAGGAACTGTTCTAACAACTTAATATGTAACTAAGTTGACTAAAACTAAGGAACTACTTTAACAACTTATTCTAAATCTACTCTAACAACTTGATAAGAATTAATAACAAACTAACAAACTAGTGAGTATGTCAACACACCCCCTCAAGTTAGGTGTGGTGCAACAACACCTAACTTGGATAAACACCGAAAGAAGGCAGGCTTGGGCAGCGACTTTGTGAGAGTGTCTGCAATTTGATCCCCAGTAGGAAGATATTTGACTACCACTCTACCTGGGTTCTTGCTGAGATATGAAACACCAATATTATCACAAAAAATGATTGGCATTTGCGAGACTTGATATCGTAATTCAGTCAACAGATTATGTACCCAAGTAAGTTCAGAGAGTGCATTGGCTACCGATTTGTATTCTGCTTCAGTAGAGGACTGAGCAACTGATTGTTGCTTTTTAGAGGACCAACAGATCGGATTTGGTCCCAAGAAGAGTATGTAACTAGATGTGGATATTCTGTCAGAGGGATCACCTACCCAATCAACATCGGCGTACATATACAGATTACTATCAGAGTGGCTAGAGATTTGCAAGCACGGCGTTGATGATGCCTTGAGGTATCAAAGTATCCTTTTTACTGCTTTCCAATGCTCCAGACTTGGCGATTGCATAAACTGTGATAGTTTGTTAACTGCAAAAGCAATATCAGGAAGCGTGAATGATAAGTATTGCAATTTACCAATGGTGCGTCGATACAAGGTTGCATCGGCAGGAGGTGAACCATCGGCTGCTTTGGGTGGTAAACTTGAGCACATGGGAGTCGTAACTCCTTTACAGTCGGCCATATCCACATCTAAGAGAAACTCAAGTATGTATCTGGATTGTGATAAGACAATACCATTTGGAACATGTTTGACTTCGATCCCCAAAAAATAGTTGAGTTCATCCAGGTCCTTTAGGGAGAACTTGTAAGCCAGAGAGTTGATTACATGTGTGACCAAGTTTGGGTAATTCCCAGTAATGAGGATATCATCAACATACACTAGAATATATATCGTGACAACTTCAGATGTAAAAATAATCAGAGAAGCATCTGATTCAGACTTAACAAACCCAATTTTAGTCAAGTGAGATTTGAGAGCTTCATACCATGCACGAGGAGCTTGTTTTAGGCCATACATGGCCTTTTTGGAGATGGCAGACATGATTGGGAAAATCAGGGTTGACATAGCCTTTCGGCTGCGCCATGAATACTTGCTCCTGTAAGTTACCTTGCAAAAATGTCTTATTAACGTCAAGTTGCTGCGCTTTCCAGTTATTTTGAACTGCAATAGAAAGTACAATTCTAATGGTGGTTGGTTTGACAACCGGACTGAAAGTTTCATGAAAGTCCAGTCCTGGACATTGTGTGAAACCTTTTGCGACTAATAGCGCCTTGTACCTGTCAATAGAACCATCAACTTTCCTTTTAATGCGAAATAACCACTTACAATCAACAATATTATTTATCGGGTGCCTAGGTACTAGTTCCCAAGTTTGGTTTTTCATTAAGGCTTCGTATTCCAGATCCATTGCATTCTTCCATTCAATGTGCTTAACTGCTTGCTTAAAGGTATTTGGAGTGGGAGAACGATGGGCCAAGAAGCTGAATTTTTTCTTTGGTGTGAAGATATTATTTTTGGACCTTGTGACCACACCGGATGGTGGAAGGACAGCAGCTGGTGACATAATTGCTGGCTGTTGCGGTGGATGTTAGTTGATTGGTGGCCGACGGGAATAGTATAATGGTTGAGAGGTGTTGTGGGCTGCTTCATTAAATAGTGAAGGAGGTTGGGAAGAGATAGGAATCATACCTGATGAAGTGGAGACTGCTGGTAGTTGCCTTTCAATTATGGACTCTGGAGTGTTTGAATGAGAGGGAGCTGTTACGGTGATAGGAATAGGAGGCGGAAGAGTTGGAACAAGATTGGAGTCCAAATTTAATTGGACTTTCGGATGAGTATACTTACCGACTTAGGACTTTATGATATCCCATTGTAATGTGGAAAACTTATTTTTCAAGTGTGAGAACATTTGAGTGAAAGGAAAAATATCTTCACAAAAATTGAACATCACGACTGACGAAAATTTTTGAGTGCACAGGATTAAAGCAGAGGTGTGCATGATGAACAATAGAAACTCCTAAGTATACACACGGTGTAGATCTAGGCTGAAATTTATTTTTTGTATATGGCTTAAGCCATGGATAACAGAGAAAACCAAAAATTTTCAGCGAAGAGTATTTTGGCGGTTCACCAAACAATTTTTTATAAGGAGAATCATTATTCAGGCCAGGTGTAGGTAGTCTATTTATGAGATAGACAACATGGTGACAGGCAAAGGACCATAGTTCAGATGGTAGTGAGGCTTTATTAAGAAGAGTTCGAGCTGTTTCGACAATGTGACGATGTCGGGGTTCAGAGATTGCAACTCGTTGGGGCGTGTAGGGTGGGGAGATCAAGTGTTGAATGCCATGGTATTGTAGGTACTGTTTAAGACTTGTGTATTCACCCCTCCATCAGTATAAAGTGAGACAATTTTGTGTTTGGAAATTTTTCCCACTAAGGATGAAAGTTTGCAAAAATTGAAGCGACTTCACTTTTGTTTTTGATTGTATACAACCAAGTGTATTTGGTGTAACGATCAACAAAAATGCAGTAATACAACTTTTTATCAATGGATAAAATGGGTGATGGACCCCATAAATCACTAAACAAAGTTTGAAGTGGTGCATTACTATTTAAAGTGAGTCGTTGAAATGGCAAACGATGAGCTTTATTTGATGAGCACGAATTACAAAAATGAAACTTTTCTTTGGTGGAAAAGGGAAGTGAAATTTATTCAGTACTAAGTCTAGGATTTTCAGATGAGGGTGACCCAAGCGACGATGCCACAGTTGACGGGAAACTTTGGTGGAGGTGAAGTTGGCTGAAGGTGACACATGATCCCTCTGTGGCCATTCATAGAGTTCGTGCTTATTTCGGCCTTGTACCAGTAGTCTCCGAGTTTTGAGATCCTTCACAAGAAAAGATTGTGGAAAAAATTCGATTGAGTTCAGATTGTCAGTGCAAAACTTAGCAACAGAAATAAGGTTCTTTTTGATAGCTGGAGCACAAAGAGTGTTAGAGAGCATGAAATTGGAGTTAGAAGCCTTAATTTGAGTAAAACCAGTGTGAGTAATGGGAATAATTTTTCCGTCACCCATGGACACTTCCTCATTGCCAGTGTATTCTTCAAGATTATCTGACTCGGTTGTGACATGATGAGTTGCTCCAGAGTCAAGGATCCAAGGATTTGCATCGGAGTGATGATTTGACACAAAGTTGACCTTAGCTTCAAAGTGGTTGTGCGATTTTGAGCGACACACATCAGCTGTGTGACCGATCTTTTGGCAAAGTTAGCATTTTACCGCTTGCCTGGGTAGTCTCCCATTCTGTTGATTTCCAGGGACCGCCTGTCGTGGAGCTTGTGGTCTTGAAGATTGATTTGGGAAGCAACGATTATTTTTCTGATGTTGGGGCTGGAAGTTGGTCCTTTGTGCAACTGCATCCGTGATGATGGAAGATGACCTGTCAATATCTTGATGTTTGAGAAAGAGTTCATAGTCCGTGAGTTTCTGGAACAACTCCTCAAAGCTTAGGGCTGTGTCGCGCGCTCTTATAGTGGCAGTGATTTCACGGTACTCATGACCTAGGCCACTCAAAATCTTCACTGCTAGTTCATCATCAGCCACCGGAGAGCCCGCTACTTTCAGAGCATCAGCAATTGATCTGATCTCCTGTAGGTAAGTAGCAACTGTCTTGGAGGCCATTTTCATGTTTTGAAACTGATCTCTTAAGCTGAATATGCGAGTGTGACTCCTATTGGCATAAGCTGTATGAAGGAGATCCCAAGCTATTTTTGCCGAAGAGGCAGTTGCAACAGTGGGAGCAATAGTGGGGTCAACGGATGCCATCATTGCCTGTTGAATTAGTTGGTCATGGCAAAACCACAGCTCATATTCAGGATTGGAGATGGTACTATCAGTTTGTGTGATAGTGGTTGGCGGAGCAAATTTGGCACCAGTGAGATGCCTAAGGAGCTTGTGTCCATTGAGTAGCATCACTAGTTGCGCCTTCCAGGCGGCAAAGTTGAGGTTACCTTGCAGTTTGATAGGTAATTGGGCAGCTGGATTGAACTGTACCACATGAGTGGTAGTCGGAACTGCAGCAACACTATCACTGGTGGTAGCAGGAACAACCATGTTTGGACTCAAAGAGAGGAAAAACAAATTGGATCGGACTCGTGAGAGTTTTAGAGGGGCTCTAATACCATAAAGAGATTGAGAATCAAAGCAAACTTGAATGAATCTTATTCAAATGTAACATCAACTTAAATACAGGTAAGATGTAACTAACTTGACTAATTCTAAGGAACTGTTCTAACAACTTAATATGTAACTCAGTTGACTAAAACTAAGGAACTACTTTAACAACTTAATCTAAATCTACTCTAACAACTTGATAAAAATTAATAACAAACTAGTGAGTAAGTCAACAAGAATAACCATCATCAATTGCAATAATTTGACAATGACATTGATATTTTAAGTCATGAGATAAAAATTTACAGTCATAATGCGTGAATAGTGACTACAAACATAAAATTGTATACATATATAAAATTGTAATAAGTTGTTTCTATTTTGGAGGCCTTAGGGATTGTGAAACAAACCTGATTTCCAACACAAACACTGATATATATTATTCACTGAATACAAGTTACAATGTAGAATACGCACGAGAAAGTAATAATACACTAACTAAGGAGAGATTAACCGAGAAAGAAGTAACCAGAAAGGGATGAGATACAACATCATAGAAGGGAGATGAGAGGATTAGAAAGCCAAAGCTTTGACATAATAGTTTGCATAACGCTCTTCTAACTCCTAGTCCTTTTTAACAAATGGTTTATTGGGCCTGGATCCCAAAGAAAAGTCTCTAATTGCCCATAGGCCCTTACGGAGTTCGCTTGGTTCACAATAGATTAGGCTCCCTTTATGGAAGGTGATTTGAATCCCTACAGTACGTGTATTTATTTGTTCAATGATAATATTCATAATTTATCAACAAGAAGAAAAAAGAAAAAAAAAAGACCAAAGCCTACACATTAATGACCCTTTTTCTCTTTTTAGTCCCATCAATTTTCTCCTTCTATGGTAGACCAAAGCCTACACATTAAAACCACGACTTGTCACACAAGATTTTAAACTGTTTTCACTAATATCAAGCAATAATTGAATATAGACTTCAAATACATCACACGAGATTAACCTCTTAATCTCACTACAAGTAATAACTTTATTACTTAAACGAGCCAAAACAATGCCTCCATTGCCCACTATATTAACTAACTCTAATTAATATAGACTTCACTCACAAGACACACAATTAACTCTAACTGTGTTCATGTGTTTAGTACCCGAAGAAAAGACTCGATGCATTTCTTTCTAGATGAGAAACAAATCTTACAATATCAGCACATTACAAGCATTTGGACAACAACACTTCAAAGATGCCCTTGATAACTCTATCAGGTCCTTTGATGTGTGAGTTTTAAAGCTTGAGTTCTTCAAAGACAAATATCACCTTTTTGAATGAATAATGTTTGTTGTTTGTTGTGTTGAATAAATCAATCAACCAAGGATACATTATCCTTTGAACAAACAACCTCGTCCATTCTCATTGGAGGAGTACACCGTTCTTCTTACCAACTGCTTACAAGACATCTTTGTAGTTGTTCACCATATTAAACTTGCACTAGAGCAATTCTACCTTGGACCAGGTCCTAGCATTTGTGAGGACCATCAAAACAATGAAAATACTACAATACTCCTACTTGTATAGTAGCTGCAAGAAGATCCTTGAGATGAATCCTGAGATGATTGATCAACATACACTTAGCTTGACCTTCGTTGGTGATGTTGAAGAGTTGCGGTCCAAAATAACGATCGAGTTTTGTCTCAATGGGAAAGATACAATTATGAACAGTAAGAACAAAAAGGAGTAGGAAACTCAGGCTAAGTCGATGTTGTATCAAACTGTTCCAAATTACAATAGGATTTAATAGATAGAGGATCAAACAAAATCTAAACTATGTCGATACTTTTATTATACCGGATATCATATACATAAAGATTTATCACTTATTCCCACAACAACCCTAAACATGCATGTACCTTTAATCATGTTTTCTTTCAGTTCCTAGTTCAGAAAGGGGTTTTGATACTTCCTTATTAAGAATCCTATTCAATAAATATAAAACGATTTTAAAGAGTATGCATCCACAAAGATTTAGATAATGATAAATTACTCATCATACACCTAATAATATTCTTGAGTGTCCATTATATCTTTTTGTGATATCTTAGCTAAATTTGATTCGAAATATATAAAAGTAGTTAATATACATTTCTTTTCAAATCAAATTTCGCTTAATACTAAAACATATCTATCTTAAATTCATTAATAGATGATTTCTTCCTCTTATTCTCTCTAATTAGCTTTAGATTATTTATCAATTACTTGACTTATAAGGTTGATCAGATTACTCTTCTATACGAATTTTCATGTTAAGTTAACATCTTTGCAAGATTTGAAGCATTTGGAATAGTAGTAAAATCAGCTAAATTACAAATGGTGAGATCAATTTATCGACATTTACACTTTTAGAGAGGTACATGTAATGAAGGAGAGAAGAAGTAGTTGGGACATTGATCAGATACTTAAGCTGGAACACAAGAGGGACCGAACCTTATTGCAGTCAATCTCTCCAAAAAATGCTAAAACAGGTAATTAAACTCTTCCTGTCTAATTGGACACTATACAAATTTCAGTGGGAATAAATATGCACATTAACAAATAACTCATTCGATTTGTATTCATTAATGACATTTTTGAGATTTAATTTTTGGTATAGTTTGATACAACGTCTACTTGCCCTGCAGGGTAAATGAGAAGGGGGTGTCGAGGTTGGAGGTCCTAATGTCTTTGATGAGGAGAAACGAAAATGCTAGCTCTTACTCATTGTTATAGGGAAGCCAACCAACTCGCAGATTGGTTAGCGAAAATGGCAATGAACTTTTAGACTAGCAACACATATTTATCAGCTCAACAACTTCTTAATGGTACATATATGGTAAATAAGAAAGAAAATATATGAATTTTAATCAAGCAACGTAACGAAAATGTTGCAGATTGCTAACAATTGTGATTTTAGACTTTTTTTTTATTATTCATTTATGTAACTTTATGAAAACTTTGACTAAGTATAATTAAGGTTATATTCAACTCTTATGGTATTAAATTTTTCTATCACTGAAAGTGAAACTCTAGAAATTTAATTTTTTTCCCATGATTTCTCAAGTTTAATTTGACTTTTGAATGATTACAAGGAAATGCAGTTCTCAATCTTTTATTGTATTGGAAGTTTTGCCACAAAAAGAAGTTAAACGAATTAGAGCTTGGTGAAATTAAAATTGAATGACATTCATAGCTTCTATATTAAAAAAGTCGGAGTTTTACATAGAGGTAAGCATATTCTACACTTGAGTACAATAGTACAAACTGACTATGTGTGCAAGTTCAATCACAGGTTACCAAAGCTACAACCAATATGTTCTTGAGTGATCATGTTGAGTCAATTTTGCATCATACCCCTGTTGAAATAAGGAGGAACATGCAACTGGTAGAAGCATGTTTGTGCAGAAGGCAAGTGTTGACAAGACCCCGAGGTTCTAGCGATGCAAAGTCTAGAATCTAAACCACGAAAATCTTCTAGAGGTAGATACCTTATTGAAGTCCAGGAAAAGAAGCTCTTTTTTCTTCTCAGAAGACATACCCTCAACTATTTGCACGCAAAGAAAAAGAGAAAATAAATATGGGATAGAAAAAGCGCGTTAACGTGTGAAGTTGTAAATACTGTGACGATATATGATTACCTTCCAGAACAAGGATATTTGAGGATCATTTTATTCGTAGCCATTGTAATCTGTATGTGCTTTCCAATCTTCGACATAAATAGAAGTTCCACTACCATAAAGCATTTTGTCAAGATCTCCAAGATATAAACTCCGAAACGAAGAAGTTTTGATACTTGAGGTAGTTATATCAGAAAAACCTAGAGAAAAATGAGCTATCTGTGAAGCAATTGATGTGACAAAATGATGTTGAATAAGGAGATTAACATACTCCTTTCTATCCTTACTGTTCACAACAATATATTTCCCACTGGGCCGAAGCTCGATTGTTTTTGTGGACCCCAATTCTTCAACATCATAAGTGAAGGTCAAGCTAAGTATATCTTGATCCACTGTCTCAGGATCCTTCTCGAGTATCTTCTTGCAGCTACTGTACAAGGTGGGATCTGCATCCCAAATACCCTTCAATGAAATATCCTCTCCAGCCAATTGCAAGAAGAATACACGGTCAAATGCAACTCCGATTTGGATTTGATGCATTAATGCCAATGCGATCATTTTACCACAGAAGGTGAAATACTCAAGGTATAATGGATCCACATTAGATGCTACAACCAAAACTATATATTAATGACTAGATTTAATTCTAGTTTGATGCAAATTTGTGCATAAAGGCGATAAAAGCTTACCTGAATTTGGAAGAAAACCTTCTTTGATCATTTGGACAAGCAACAAAGAGAGCTTTGTGAGGATTGAACATCTCTCGATATACCAAGAAGAACCACTCTCTCAACACATCAGGTCCAGTAGCGTATTCATGTTTGAATTGCAATAACATATTGCCTCGCAGCAATGCAGGATCCTTATCAAAAATATATTCAGAAGATGCCTCCAACAAGTTGGACCTATCGATGAGAATCTCATATGAGCCCTCCTTGTTTTCGGATTTAGCTTCTTCAAGCATCCTCATTGTGAAATGTCTCCGTACTTTGAAATTGATTACCACCTCCTTGTTTTCATTGATCCACCGATAATCATCACAACTCATCGCATATATCCCGATTACAAAGCTCAGTGAAAGTTTTCGTTGACTCAACTTCTGCCAAAACACCTCCGAGTTGTTAAACAACTTAGAAGTATTGTTTAACTCTTTCAGTATTACAAGATATTGAGACCACAACAATACGATAAGCCTATCTTCATTGATCAATCTCACCTTATCTTCCAATTTCCTTAAGCATCGCTCTATTTTATCTAGCAAATCATATAACGTGAAATGCAAGTAAGATAAAATATGATGCAAGCTCTCAATGTACTCTCTATCATACACTGCTTCACCATTGAAAGAGTCGAAAGATTGTTGCAACAATGCCCTCACCAAGCACATGTACTCAGTAAAATCAGGCACAATGCTCATCAGGGATAGCCCCGTAGACTCAACTGACATACTCAATTCTAACTCACGGGATAAATCAGCAACTACAACCTCACGAACAAACATAAAAGCATCATTCATTATCAACATTCTTCTTGCACCTTGTAATCCCAACAGCCTCTACCATATCCCTTATAGTACTCCGACAAAAGCTATTCAAGGGATCCTCAAGCCCAACAGCTCTTCTCAGCAGCTTACAGAACACTAATATCAATCGAGCACATTCATTGTATCTCTTCATATGCAAATCAGTAGTCATCAATGAATCGATGAATCTATGAATGGATTCATCAGCAACATGTTTCTTAGCTTTATCTGGAGACAGATAAATCATTACTAAAGCTTCAGGCACTGATGAAGAGATAAATATTTAAAAATGTTGAGAGGAATTTTCATTAATATTATGCATTGGAGTCATGACAAGAAACTTCTTCAACATCCTTATGATATGATCCCCGCGTGTAAAATCTGAAGGATCATTACTTCTCAAAATATCGAAGGCTAGTGAAGCTAAGTCATCGATGAGCTGCCAATACTGAGGATTATTTGTGCTCGGTAGTTGACCAATTACAAGTTGTATAGTTGTATCGTGTAGAATCCCACAATCTTCCAATGTTTAGTTTGACCTGAGTTGGTTTCCCTGATAAATTATTCGTTGCGCTATTATGGGAATTCCTGTAATACGTGTGATTGTACGGTGAATGAATTCCACTGGATCCGTAGATGAGGCTACAAAAATAAATGTTTTCCCATTCGGAAACTGGACAAAAAATTGAATCATAATAAGAAAACGAGAAACAATCCCTTTATCCGTCTCTACTACAAGCCAGAGACCACTCTGGCAAAACAGATACAGCTCATCATCAACCCCATCCGCGGTTTTCAGAAGTTTACAAAACTCTGATACTAAAAGAACACTTACATCCGAAGCATCTTCTGTCAATGTACTAAATGAATTGGTAAATTTACAAATAAATTTATCAGCAATTGATTTTATAGCCATATCCTGAGACATATATAGCATTACCAAATCTGGAGGAGCAGACGAGGAAATAAACAATTGTATGTGGTTACATGCTTCTTCAGCATTTTCGTTTAGAATCAGAAATGTAAACTCTTTCATCAACATTATCACATCCTTCAAATCTGAAGCATGACAAACGTAATCACTTTTCAAAATCTCTAGGATTTTTGAAATTATTTCATTTGTGATTTTCCATGTCTCCAGATGAAATGTGCTCGGATTTTTACCAATTAAATGGATAGTTTTATCATTCTCAACCAGGTTTTTTGCTTTAGGTAAAGAACGAACAAAGAACTGAATTGGAGTTTGGTCAGTTCTCTTTCGTTTTCCAGTGATATCGCGGCTGTTATCACTGTTAATCTTATCGGAAAAGTGAAGTGAAATGGTGTAATAAAATGGTAGTATTGTTTAGTTTAAAACTTAAGAGACCTATTATTGGGGGGGGGGGGGGGGGGAAAAAAAACCCCGGAAATATAGGGGGTATCTTTAAATT